CAATCTTGTTGTGTAGAATCTCCCAGATCCTAGCATCCAACTCATCTTTCCCTATCTGTACCACGAGCTCAAGTGTTATCGACACCTCCGACCCTACATCTCTCGATCCTGTTCCTGATCCTGACCCTGAACCGGATCCAGTAGTAAAATGTCTCGTCACCACCATGCTGAAAAATATAACCAAGACGTCAGATAAATGACATGATATCGGGAGACCAATTCCCACAACCCTAGGGGTTGTGACTTCCTTGCTACGTGTATGGGTCCTGTGCTTTCAGTAGTACGGGCCTATACTACCTTCCACACCTACCCATATTTGTCTCAAGTATCATCACAATGCCCTAACACTATAATCAAAATAATATGCGCTCAACCCTCACTTCTAGGGGAATATCGACTATCTCGCAACCGATCTCACAGCTTCTCACAACTCACACATCCATGGAACTCTCACCAACCCTGCAGCACTTGTGTATGCTAGCCACACATAACGCTGGACCCGACAGACTTCTGAATATCCAATCCTACACTAAGGTCGAATCAGACATTCTCAGGCTATAAGATCTTGATTATACACATCCGTGATGCATACACTAAACATCTACAATTATGATTTTAATTCCATATACAAGAAACCCTAGGCTAGTAGGCATCATATAATCGGGAAAATCTTATCATGCGATTCCTGAAGACTCCTAGCCTAGCACTAGCATGTTGTTCTATCATATCATAATATCAATTAACTGTATGGTATTTTGAAGTTTACTTACAGGCTCCGGCTGATCGTACCCTCTGCATCCTCCATCCTTTATTTTGAAAACCATTTTAGTATTTATTCTGAAAATTCCCTTGATTTGAGACTGGATTCACATGAGCGTTCCTCTAATTCACTCAAACCAAGGCTCTGATACCAACTTGTCACATCCAAAAATTTTACGCCAAATTTAAACTTTTTCAATCATCAATAAAACCAAATAGTATTTGTTCACAAAATGTTTTCAAATCATTGTTCATCAGAGTTTCCTAATAACTAGATCAAAAGGATGAGGATTGGTATGGTCATGCCTTCGCCTTGCCATGATCTCCTGAAGTACCTGAAAAAATAAATTGAAAACTGTAAGCCCGATGGCTTAGTGAGCTACCCCCAAAATACTAATACCATGCTGATAATACCATATCAGTAACAAACAATCAACAACATGCATACTGGGCCATCGGCCTGACTGGACCGCCATGCAGGGCCTTCAGTCTATCTGATCCTATCCCGAGCCTTCGGCATGACTGGACCGCTACGTAGGCCTACAGTCGCCCCGAACAACTTATAGGGTTTGTTGGCCTTCAGCACAAAGCAGAACCTCCTCAACCCAACCAACAAGCAAATAACCATGTGTGCATAACTATCATATACTAGCATATACAAACATCAAACATATCTGTCTTACTGATCATCAATCATAAAAATCTCTTGTAACTAGAGTACCGACCTAGCAGGTCACTAACATACCAATCCCTACGGATCAAAAGAGCATAATATATTGTCTATCCTGATTTCGATCTAACAGATCATAACCACATGTAGCACACCATAACAATAACAACTTAAGGGTCGGCCTTGATGTCGTAGACCTTATTGATATAGTGAGGATAACTCACCTTGCAGATGTCAACTTGGTTGATGAACTCTAACTCTCGGATCACTATCAAAAACTCCACCACCTATTTGTTGGATACGGTGTCTAAGTCCATAACTATTTCTGGTATGTACTTGACCCGACCCGACATGGTCCATTTGGGTTGCATGGCACCATGCAATTGGATAGACTAAATGAGAGAAATAACACGTGTGGTTTATTAATATATTATAAGTTCTAATATATTAATAGTATTATTTAATTAGTTTGATCAAGAATTAATTTAGAATTAATTGAGTGATCAAAAGATAACTAATTAAATATATGGGTTGATTATGTAAATCATCCATAACTTGTATAGTGAGCTAAGAAGTTCCATGGATTATCAATTTGGGTTCCACCCATAGGATTCTCCATGGGAGTTACAAACCCATGGGTCATGGAAATGAAAAGCCATGACACATTAGGGTTTACATGGTGTAACCCTAGACGTGTCAACACTATATAAAGAACATATTCTCCACCAAAATCAGCTACACATAAGAAACAAGAGGGCTAGGACGATTTTAGAAGTGTGTATTCTCTCTAAGGTCATTCCAAAAGCATTTGGTGTTGTGTGAAACATTTGAGGCATCACACTTGGGGTGCTAGGCTCACAAGGTTTCAAGGATCATAAGCAACAACAAGGTATGTTATTCTATCTTTCATTCAAGTTAAAAATTGTTCCCCGTGTATGCTAGATAAGAATATAACCTTGGAATTCAACTTTGCATGATAATTAGACAAACATAGATCCAAGGTTATTAGGGTTGCAGGTACACTTAGGAAGTGCTAGAATGCTCAAAACCCATCACTATTACCATAATATAATTATACCCATAAGTCCCCAACCTTTCAAGGTACCCCAAAAGCCAATTAATCAAACCCTGGTCAAAATCAAAGTCATCAGTCAAGGTCAACAATCCATGTTGACCCTAACTCACCGAGTACCCTCGGCTACTCACCGAGTTCCTTGAAGTACTTACCCACTCGTTGAGTCACCGAGTGACTCGTCGAGTTCCTTTGTTTTACGATTGAACTCTAAGGCCACTCGGCGATTTTCATTCTTTGCAACTCGACGGTTACACATGCATACATATATTGGGGAAACCTCAACCGACTCGCCGAGTTGTTCATACAACTCATTGAGTTCTATGGCAATCTTCATCGAACTCGCCAAGTTGTTCATCTAACTCGTCGGGTCCAGGCCTATCTTCATATGACTCGCCGAGTTCCTTCGATCCTTAAGCCATACATGGGAAATTGTTGAAATGGCCAAATCAATTAAGGTGAAGCATACTTCATCCCGAGACAAGTCTTAGAGTCATACTACAAGTAACTTGAGTGACATATCTTATGAAGGTTTATAACATTCTTCAAATGAAGAGTAAAATATTTCTTACTCGTGTACATTTGAAATTGGTAAGTTGTGATGTCTTGGTAAGGACAAAGACAAATTGAGTGAAGTGTTGTTCTTGATAAGAACCGCACTAACCCTTGAATATTTGGTTGTCAAGGAATGTTTCTTGACAAATAGAATCCTATATGTCAAGAGTTCATTGGGAGTCTTAAAGATCTTGACAAGTTTCAAGAACTAATCAAGAATAAACCTATTGTTAATCACTAGCACACGACTTGAGGTTTGTAGCCTATCGTGTTGAGATATTCTTTTTTCTGTGCCTATTCAAGTTAAAGTGGACTATGCATGTGAGTTCTATGAGTTCTTAATTGTTTGCATAGGGCAAAGCACCCTGGTCAGTGAAAGTTCATTGATCAATAAGAGTGATCTGCTGAACAACTAGGAAGATATGGTAAGCCCTTGTACTACCAAGAGGCAAGAAAATAAGATTGAGTAAGTTTAGTCCATATGAGGTAGATTTTGTTACTAACCTTATCTTGTGATTATGGTTATGACAAATCCACATGGATAGGAACACATACACCGTAAGATCTAAGGTGTCATTTGGTTCATGGATTCCCAAGGAATTAGAAGGAAAAGGAATTTAAAATCCATTGCAAAGCGTGTGTAGATTACCAAAGAAAAGGAATTTGTTTTTCTTAATTAAAATTATATTCCATATTTGAGTGAATTACAATTCTCTAGTAATTTATCAAGAAATTAGATTCCATTAAATATCTTTCATAAAAAAGACAAAATTGACCTTCCTTTTCTGTGTAAATCATCTATGCGATCTTCTTTCAAAACACAATCAAATACATGATTAAATTATCTCTCATACGATTACATTATTTCAAGTGATTATATATATCTAAAACAGTAGCCTGCCAAACGATATCATCATTCTATCATTGCAGTTGTGTTACAAAATTCATCTGGTTTGTCATTTTAGGGCGTTGTTGCATTATCTTCGTTCACAAGTAAGAATATCGATCCATTCTACTTTCTGTAATAACTTGTTCTTCACTCTCATTTTGTCCAGTTTGTAGTTCGATTTTCATATTTAAATGACAGGAACTCACCTAGTTATTAGCCATCGTTGTTGTTTAAGCATGCTAATATTACTTTCAATTTTTCAGTTTAACGTATCAGTAGTTATGTTAGAATTTTTTTGTTTGATTTTATTAATGTAGGATATGCAATCTATTCTTTTATTAGTTTGCATGCTAGGTGTTTGTGTTTTTGCCAATATGAATTAATTTTGTTAAACGTGCCATACTTTGAGATAGTGGAGAAGATGAGACAAAATTATTATAATTTGGTTTAAAGATCACCATTACTAACCATTCATACCTAACATCAAAAATGTTTTATTCAATTTACAAGAGTAAAAGTCATGCATTGTTTACGTTTACATCAAAGTTTCTTATATGAGTTAAATTTAGTCAAAAAGTAAATTGTTGATATGATACAAAAAGTATCTGGAACATGTTTTTATTCATTTTTAGTTTTGATATACTTCATTTTTTATTCTTGATATACTAGATGATGCTTATACTTATTTATTTCCTGAACAATTATAATCAGTTTTATAAAAATGTAATTCTAGTAATCTTGTTTTGATATTTAAATGTTGGTTCCAAAATGTTAATTGTAAATTTTTGCCTTTTGTGGGAGTTGAGCAGGCAATGGCTCGACTTACTCTAGCAACAACCAAATATAGGAAGAAGATAAATCGAGTAGTTATTACATTTTGGAATGAAATTATGACTGCTGCTACATGCTTTTTTTTTATCACAATTAGCAAGTTGATACACAAACATAGAAGGGGAATACCGCGTATTCAAAACATATCGTCTAGTGTGGATCGATACTCAATATTGCATAAATTCGCTTACAAAAGTGACACTACATGCATATCACATCTTAGGATGACCCGAAGATGTTTCACAAAGTTGTGTAACATGCTTCACACATTAGGAGGGTTAACAACAAGTAGACATATGGACATCGATGAACAAGTGGCAATATTTCTTCACATCATTGCCCATAATGTTAAGACTCGGGTGATGATAGGTCGGTTCCATCATTCAGGAGAAACTATTAGTAGAATTTTTACCCGGGTTTGCAACGCGGTGATAAGGTTGCATCCACAATTGCTTAAGAAACCCGAACCTGTCACCGAGAACTCTACCGATCAAAGATGGAAGTGGTTCAAGGTATATATATATATATATATATATATATATATATATATATGTGTGTGTGTGTGTGTGTGTGTTTGTCTGTGTGTATTATATTGTTTTCGGTTTCTAGTAAATTGGCTTGATCTTTTTTTCTTATGTTATATAGAACTGTCTAGGAGCTTTAGATGGAACACACATAAAGTGCTTAGTACCACTTGAAGACAAGCCTAAATATAGAACTAGAAAAAATGATATTGCCACAAATGTCCTAGGGGTGTGTTCGCAAGATATGCAATTTATCTATGTTTTACCGGGGTGGGAGGGCTCAACAGCTGATGGTAGGGTGCTTCGACATGCCCTACTTAGGCCAAATGGATTGAAAGTTCCGAGGTCGGGTATGTGTAAATGGTATTTTAGATTTGTATTAAATATTGTGTCTACTAACTATAGTGTATTACATATTAGGTTATTATTTGGTAGATGTTGGTTATACAAATGGAGAAGGTTTCTTAGCCCCATATAGAGGTCAGAGGTATCATTTGAATGATTGGTGTGCTGGACACCAACTAACTACACCAAAAGAAATCTTCAACATGAGACATTCTTCTGCAAGAAATGTCATAGAAAGATGTTTTGGTGTTTTGAAGGCAAGATGGGGAATTTTAAGGGATAACTCATATTATCCTATTGAACCAAAAAATAAGATTATAATGGCTTGTTGTCTTCTTCATAACTTTATAAGGCAAGAAATGTCAACCGATCCATTTGAGAACAACATTGAGCCAGATGAGGGAGACGGAGATGTTGGCGGAATAGACAATGAGAATATCACTTCTATCGATGTATCAACCGAGTGGACTACATTTAGAAACAATTTAGCACAAAGTATGTTTGATTCTTGGAGTACTACACATTGATGATTCGTATCGAGATGATAAAATATTTTCCCTTGGTTTTATTTTAGTCATTTAATTTGAATACTTTGGTGTTACATTTTCTATTTTTAATGATTTACTTTGATTTATATTTGTTATATATATGGTGGTGTGAATTTTATGTTATGTATTATTTTATCAAAATTTTATGTTTATAACAATAGGTAATGGAAAAAGGTAGAAAATATCATAACTGGACAATTAATGAAGATGCCAAGCTGGTGGAAGTATTGGTAAATATGGTAAACCTGGGAGGATTTAGAGCCGACAATGTTTTAAATCGGGATATTTACAACATCTAGAAAGTGCATTAAAGGAAAAGATTCCAGAATCTTGTCTGATGGGTAAACCCCATATTGAGTCAAGGATCAAGACCATGAAGAAAGATTGGCAAATTGTTTATGATATGGTGAATGGTACAAATACAAGTGGTTTTGGTTATGATAGCTCTACACATTCTGTAACAACGGAACCAACAGTTTGGGAGTCTTACATTCAGGTATGATATGTAATTTATTTTATATTTTATTACTTCGTAAATATTCATATAATACTTTTATTTACTAAAATTTCATTATATGTACAGGTTCATAAAGAGGCGGGCAAATGGAGAAATAACATATTTCCTCATTTGAGGACTTGTGTATTTTTTGGGAAGGACAGGGCTCAGGGGAATAAAGCAAAAGATTTCGCCGAAATGGAAGAAGATGCAAACAATGAAGAACAAGATGAAGAAATAGACATTGATCCCGACCTTCTAGTGGAAGAAGATGCAAACAATACAAGCACACACACAAAGAAGAGGAAAAGTATATTTGATCTTGTTGTTCAAGGAATAACGATTGCAGCTAATGTGCTTGGAGAAAAACTTGAGAAAGCAGCAAGCAGCACGAATCAAGCTATACTAGGAGAAACAGATGTACAAAAGAAAGCTTCTATGGTGATTTCTAAAGTTTCCAAAATGCAGTCATTGAGTGCATTGGATAGGTTCAAAGCAAGTCGCAAAATAATGTGTGATCCAGAAACTGTGTTGAGTTTTTGGAATTTGGAAGGAGAAGATCGTGAGAATTTGGTGATGTTTATGTTGCACGAGTGATTAGTATAAAATAGGTACCTACACTATTTTACGTATTCGAGTGTGGTAAACTTTTTTATTTTGATATTGAGAATAAAGAATGATAAATGTTGGTTTTTTTTATAGTTAATCATTTGATATTTTGAATTAAAAATGTTTTTTTATTTGTAGGCGAGTGTTCATCAAAATACGTGTTGATTATTTGTGTAATTTGTAGTTTTTAAAAGGGTTTAATAATAAAAAATTTAATTTAAAGAAAATTATGTTAAGTTTATAAAAATAAAAAAAGTTCCAAAAATCACTAAAAGGGCATTTTGGTCATATTACATACATTCCTTTCCAATTCCTTTGACAAATCAACAAACCAAACAAAAATCACATTCATTTTCATGTCAACCAAACACATATCAAATTCAAATTCATTTTCCTTCAGATTCCAATTCCTTTGTAAGATTCCATTCCTTTAAAAAAAAAATCTGCAAACCAAACGCCACCTAAGTGTCATAAGGTTTCTCTCCAATTCATGAAAATGATTGTGAGGAAATGCTTTCACTAAGTAGATTTTAAGAGTTAGCAATTGTAATATTTGCATTCTCAAATTTGTTTATGATTATGGCATCCTTCTTCATAGTTCGAATTGTGAGAAATAGCAAATAAAGTTTGCACATTCGGAACTTATTGTTGTAAGTTTTGAAATAGTTTAGACACACATATGAGCTTTCTAATAAAAGGTGTGTGAATTAAGATAAAGGCTTACCGAAGCATCTCGTATCAGAAATCTGAACTTTAGTAAGAAAGTTAATAAGTATTGATTTCTAGAAGTCCATCACATTTCTGAGTACATGTTGAAGCTAGTGGGAGCATAAATGGTATAATTGTTATGCTAGTGGGAGCATAATTATTATGTTAAATGTTGCAAGTTAGTAATGTTAATTATAGAAAAACAGGTTTTCATTTTGCAAAGTTGCAGGGTTGAAAAGTTGTTTTGCTATAATTAAGGGAGAGGAACTTATACTTCATTTCAAATCTAAAAGTTTAGATTGAGAATTTTAATCAAATTTAGTCAAAGACATATATGGATGTCATGTTGAAAAGATTTGACATAAGGAAATTCTATATATAGAAATGTTAATTGCATTCTCACAATTTGACTATGATTACGACATCCCTCTTCATAGTTCAAATTGTGAGAATATGGCAAATAGAAATATTATAACAGAAGATTGGTCAAGTACCATGTCTTTATGTATGACATTATGAATTTTGTCCCATATGCTTCGGATATAGTGAAACATCCCAAAATACGACCCAAAAATTTTTGTTTAACAATTACTAAAAATACTAAGATAATATCATAAAGTAAAACTCATACGTCAATATTTCAAAACAGTAACTAATGGTTATGTAGAACTGTATCAAAACTATATCAATCACATTTATGAAAAACTAGAAACATCTCCCAGGACAACTGAAACTGTGGTGTATGCGATGCCATCAACCTGAGCTCTTCCCTTTGCTTGCGGAAGTACCTGAAACCAAAACTGAAACTGTAAGCACGAAGCTTAGTGAGCTCCCCCAAACTACCACATACCATACAATACATATAAACACATACTAGGCCTTGCCCACTGCATCGGACCGAAGTCCGGAAACTGCATCGGACCGACGTCCAGAACTAACCTAGGCCTTGCCCTCTGCATCGGACCGAAGTCTGGAACTACTGAGGACTTGCCTCCTGCATCGTACCGAAGTCCGGAACTAACTGCATCGGACCGAAGTCCGGAACTACTGAACATAGTATAGCATAGACATATCAACTAGCATGAACACATAAACTGCATACTGCATCGGGCTGTAACCCGGAACACATAACACATAAATCCTGTCTGAGCCACGAAGGCATCAAACATACTAACATCTGCATCGGACCAAAGTCCAGAAACTACTACTAGCTAAATGGGCCGACATTGTGGCCTTAGACCCGTTCCTACTGGAAGGAAACTCACCTCGTGATCTGGCTGCTGAGTGTATGGCTCTGGAAGCTATCTGCTGCTGCTCCAGTATCTCCCTGGCTACAATTCCACAAATACACTCAATCAAAATACTAATAACTGCATTGGGGTAAAATGACTCTTTTACCCTTGGCTAAAGTCAACTCTCCTGGTCAAGGTCAACTCTTCTGGTCAAAGTCAACTTACAGTTGACCTAACTCGCCGAGTTGGGCCGCCAACTCGCCGAGTCCCTACTCTCATTTCTCAACCTTGCTCGCTGCTACTCGTCGAGTATGGCATAAACTCGATGAGTTCCCATTCGATTCCAAAACTCAGGCTATCTACATCCGACTCGCCGAGTTGTATGAACAACTCGACAAGTTGTTCTTGAATCTAAGAAGATTGTCTTAGACTCGCCGAGTTGTATGAACAACTCGTCGAGTCCCTCAATTACTGAGTCTAACCTCCGACTCACTGAGTCCATGCTACTACTCACTAGTCCCCACTCGGAATCACTCAAAGGGGAAAAATCGGGGACTCATGACTCGACTCGCCGAGTCCGAAGAAGGACTCGCTGAGTCACATGCATGCAGTTACTAAAAACTCGATTCTGCTCAAAACCACTGCATACAATTTATAGATCTGAGTTCGTAAGGCTGGTTTACCACGTAAAGTTTCCAAATTTACATGTACAAATGCATGAAAAAGGATATAAAGGCTAAAAAGGCACTTGGAAGGATAAATCTAGGGCTATCATGCAAAATGGCTCCATAAAGGTGATAGATCTACGTTTTTGGAACTGAAACATGGCTAGATCTGAAGGTTAAGCAATCTAATATGATTTCTCTACTATGAACAAGCTAAGGAATGGATAAAATGGGCTAAATATGCTTATAAAGGAGAATCAATCATAGAAACAGAAGGAATCTGATTATTACCTCAATAAACTCTGAAATGGGTGCAAGACCTTGGATCTTCTTCTTCTCCTTTGGATCTAGCCTCTATCTTCTCTTCAAAACTTCAAGATTTACACAAGAAATGCTCAAATACTCAATGGAATGGTTAGGGTTTGCTAAATAATGCTTTGAGGGTGAAGGAGACGAGTTTGGGGGCTCATAAGATGGTTTAAATAGGGTGCAAACCCGGGGATTTAGGGTTTCTACTTGGCAGGCCGACTCGCCGAGTCCTGAATATGGACTCGCTGAGTCACCGATCTAAACGCTGCTCAAGATCACGACTCTACTCGACGATTCGGGCCATAGACTCGTCGAGTCCCTCTGCAAACTTCTAAAATAAATAATATAAAAACAACATACCAAAGACGGGTTGTTACATATAGGATCGATTGCATATGCTATAATATTCACGTGTTCTAATTTTCCAAATGCCTAGGATATTAAGAGGGAAAAAGGACTAGAACCAGATACGAATAAAGTGGTTAAACAACTATCAAGGACAATCTAAAGTTCGCTAAGGATTGGTTGCTTATGGATAGTTAGAAGTATAGTAATGAATGGGTCATGTTGATATAATTATGAATATATAGGATTCTGTTAAGAATAGATAGTCATATGGCAGTTATGGAAAATTCTCCATAATGGGAGTTAGATATTGAGAAAATTAGAAACTTCTATGCAAGAAGGATGTTCAAAGGAATGTACTTTGAATTTGAGACTTCACTTCCTTGGAATTGTCTTGTAACAATTTCCAGTGGAAAGTTTTTTTATATCGTTGGTCAAATCTCTGTGACTTTTTGTACCTAGACATTAAAAAAAGGAATCTTTGGATAGTAGTTTAGAACTAACACAATCTAATAGTGGCAATAATTTGGCATTCTTACACTTAAATATTTGGAATTGTGAAATGAGTTTAATTGGAAATGTTATCAAATTGATTTATTCCACATAGTAAGGACCATAGGTAAATATAGTGTGCATGTTTGGAGCATGGGATGACTATTGTTTTAATTCAAGTATCCAGTTGATCATTCGAAACATTATACAATGAATAATGAATAATCAATATGGTGATTAAATAAAAGGTGTTTTATTTACGTCCACAAGTTTTGGGGCCATATAAGATTAGTGTTATTCTTGTGTTTCACTTTGCATGTTTTGACTTCCAGAATAATAGGATTTATTCTAACTATCTACAGTCGATCATACTTTGGAAGTAGGTATGAAAGAACACTGTCATGAGTTGGCTTGTATGATTGTCTAAGGAGTTAGGCATAGCAACATGTTTTCTAAACCATTCATGAGTACTTCTGAAATAAGATTTGAGTATTGGATTCAATCCGCGTTCACTTGAATCACTTCATGGAATTTATCACAAGTGATTGTGAGACAATAATATCATAGAAATATTCAAACCTAGATATATGAGTTGTTAACTATGAATTGGTTGTACACTGATAGTACGAAAACGCATTGGTATCTCGATGTTATAAAACGTGTTGTTGTGTATGATTCGATGAATAGTTAGTGCAAGTATATGAGTTGAAGTTTATCTGTTTCCTTTAATCCTAAGAGGATTAAAAGCAATATCTTGGGACCCTCAATGATTTTGTTTTGACTTATGTTTCGGGCCCGATCAGAACTAAATTGATGTGTTCAGTTGTGTTTTATGTAAGATAAATCAGAAATCGAGAAACAAATTGCTGGACAATAAGTATGGCATTGTTCCATGTATTTGTCCAGCTGATATCTTGAGAGCAGAGGAGTATATAATCCCTTATCTAAAGGATGCATCACTGACTGGGTCAAAGTTAAAATCGACTTTTGGAAGCTTATGATTGCTAAGTCGGATCCTGAAGTGCATAGGCAACTATAGTTATTAGACTTATCCAAGTAGGAGACTGTTGGATTTGGTGTCTAAGCCCATAACTATAACCGGTATGTACTTGAACCGATAGTAGCATGGTCCTTTTGGGTTGCCTTCACCAGTACAATTTGATAGGATGGTTTTATGAGAATAAGGTTATTTAATTAGTATTGTCCAAGAAGTAATATGGAATTAATTTTGTTGTCA